AAAGGGCACATTTCTTCCTAAAAATAATGCTATAGCTGTCATTTTGATCTGAAATCTTTATTGTGTTTTGATACAGAGAAATATGTAATCGTATCACTACAACCAGTCATTAACTCTTAGTTAAATGACATTGGTGCAATTGGAAACATATTTGATATCAAAAAGAAATGCTGACTTAAATAATGCTGTTAACTCTGGGGACTTTGACTGTTCTAACCCGATATTACAGAGACCGTTTATTTACGAACTCTGAGCCAGACTCACCAGAAAAAGTCCAAGATGGCTGCCAGTTTGGCGGGATCACTAAGCCGTTTGAACTGGAGAATACCTCCATGGAGGCTTTTATTTTTTGCGTGTCTCTGCAAGGGACAGCAAACTTTGGATGCGTCACAGATAATTTCATGTGCTTTTGTGTGCTTGTTCTTGCGAGTGTGCTCCTCTTGGCTAACGCAAACCACATGTGAAATGAACCTCAGGCAGCATCCAGAGCTGGGGAAGCATTGTGTCCCTGAATGTGGGCCCAGATATGGTGGGATTACAGATGGTAGAGATGGATGAGGAGATAGGAAGCGGAGGAGTTTAAAAGAAAAAGAGGAAAATGGGTACACATGGGAGCACGAGATTAGCGAGTGTTTTCAGAGCTGGGTGGCTTACTGAGTTTTCTCTCTCAGATATACGCTCGGACAAAACGCACACAGCTGTCTCACATCTATCTGTACTTGTAAACTGGTGTGGCAGTTGGGATTGTGGGTAAAGCAGGGGCATGGAAGCTGAGATAGAGGGCTGAAAATGGGGCTTTAGCCCGCAGAAGTTTCTGTGCAGAGTTTTGTGGTGTTACGGCGCAGCATTGCAATGAGGTCAGAAACTTGAAACAGGACCTAATGGGGGCCAGTGAGTTCATGCCAGACTCGTTTCCCTGATTTACAAGCTGCATTAGGAATCTAAGAAGTATGATTTGTTATGAAATTTGGTATAAATGTCATTAATTGAAGTCTGTTTTCTCCAGCAAATGTTCAAAATTTGTCACAGAGATGCATTTCAAGATGAAAACAAGGGGAGGCACCATACTTTGGTTTTGTGTTGGTGCCAGTCAGATTTTGTTACCGACCTCAAGGCAACAAAAATCCCCCCTCCCCAGTGGCCAAGTGTCTCAACAACAATACACCCTATCCTGGCTTTGCTTTGATTGTGAGCCAATACAATCGGCAGGCCCTAAAGACCTACTTCCTTAGGATTTGTGTGATAACCATAACAATTATCAGCCTGTCACTCGGGGGGGGGGGGGGGGGGACTGTCAATGTCCCAGCAGGCATCTGGTAGCCCCCCCCCCCCGGGTAAATATGGCACCCCTATAGCCCCAGAAAAACACACTCCCATTCTAGAAGAACGCACTGCAACGTTAAATGGGAAAAAAAATATATATATCATTATAAAATATTTTAAGAAAATTGTATTCGATTTTGGCTTTTTTATGTACAGTTCATGTGCTGAACCGTCAAACAGCAAATAATTGTGCATGAATGGACAGCAGTGTTGGTCATGTAGGCTACAGTTCCCGAGTGAAGGACTGAAAGTTTAATGTGTGGTCGCGCTGAGAGGGGAGTAAACAACTAGTGCGTGAATAAGCCAGTGTAAGTTGTTTTCAGGTTGCTAAAAACAGACTTTAAGGAATAAATACATTTACCTTGTGTGAACTCTTTGTCCCAACAAAAAAAAAAAAAAAAGTCTTATCAAGGTTGGTTGAATGTTTTTCCACACGCATCGCCCATATTCAACCAGCAGCAACCCTAACGCTGATGCTTTATTACCTCCAGGTGTATTTCTAGTTTCATGTGCATCCGCCCTTTTCATCTCCTGTTATGGGCACATTATCAGTGCATGTTTTTCTGAGGGCTCATTATGTTCTATAGGGGTTGCTCCTGTTGCTCGGAAGTTGACAGCCTGATAACCTTTTTATGCAAACTGGGGGAGAGGAAGTGTAGCGCTGTCATGAACGACCCCCAGGAGGAAAGCCATAGGCGATCTATTATTCATACTCTACATGTAGGATCAACCTTGGCGTTATGTAATCATGGGAATAGGTCTGCGATGTTCCATACGGCTAAATCAATTCAACCGCTGTAAGAGTCGGTGAAAACCTTTTTTTTAAAGAGTCTCTGTGCTCAGAGATTTGAGAGAGTGTGTGCAGCCTGAGTAGCCCTGAGATACGACGGTGTTTGTGAACGAGCTGTTGAGGGCACAGCTGAGGTTTAAGGCTGCAATGTACTCAAAACAAACAGCTCTTTTATTCTACCGAAGACACATACAACGGACTCTTAAAAAAAGGAAAAGATAATCTACAAGGAATATACCCTGCTGCAAAATAAGTCCATTTTACCCCCTTAAATTCTACCAGTAGCTTTTCGAACACTCACTTACATGAGCTTTTTTGCTTCTTTGAACCATACTGCTCTAAAAGACAACATTGTCAATTACAAATATAATGATTAAAATACAAAGCTTAATCTTTCATTTGATACGAAGTACTGGTAGACATCATATAAAGCTTTTTACACAAAGTTTGAGTGGAATCGTTAATAAAACCTGCAACAGATCAGCCAGAAGCACTCTAGACTGTTTTTAATTGCATCTCTTCAAAACTCAACATTTCAGATGAATTACAATAAAGGTGACATGTCAGAATGTTTTGTATTTTTCTAATCATTTTTTTGGTCCAACATCTTGGCTTGTGATGCTTTCTGATTCAAAGTCTGGCAGCAAAACTGATTCACTTCTTGATATTGCCAGGCCTTCAAAATGACACAGACCTTGTGTCATTTTATAAAATAAAATATTGATTTGTTGAAGTGTCTACAGACTCTTCATCACCCTGGTACTAGAAAACAATGTCTATCTCTGGCATTGACAGCTGGTGAATCGGTCAGAGTTTATGCAAAATAAATATGAGAACAAAACCTGCTTAACAAAGTTTTGTTCACTCTTTATTCATCTATGTAAACTACAGTGTACGTAGATGAATATGGTCGATAAATCAGAGGTCTTTATATTTTCTTATCGAATTCTGATGAAATCCAAAGGGAGACAACAATCATCTCAATGATGCACTGTAAAGAATTTTTAAGGAAACCCCTGAGTGATACAGGGTTTAGGGAATGAAGAAGCAACAGGCTAAATAGTTTTAATTTAGAATCAGTAAACCTTCAATTAGATTTTTTGTTCAAGAAACTCTAAATACATTTTTCTTTAATCTCAAAGATTCTTTCACACGGCCCCTCTTAAACTCCTAAATAACTCACTGATATCTCTGTGCAGTTTTCTGCAGTCCAAAATTCCCTCAGCCCCCCACAAAAAAAATCCCCAAACCATCCCTTCCTGTTGTAAATCTAAATTGGGGAGGCAAACTGGGCTTCTTGCACACAGTGTACATGAAACAGCCATGCATGGCCTTGAGTGAGTCATCTAATGTAAGGGGGGGAGTGCCTCTGCACACACAGCCCCAGCCACAGCCTCTTCTACGTTAAACAAAATCATCTATTCTGAGGCACTTTCAAGTTTTTAGCGATCCTCCCAATTTTGGGGAAGCAAAAAGACGGCTTTTCTATCTCAAATAAAAAGGTTTTAGGTGTAGATTTTAAGACATGTTTCTGATAACAGAAGCTCAGCTAATGCAGTCAATGCTTTAATTGACGGATATGGCCGTACAATAATACAGGTGCTGCCACATAGAACATCCAGGGAACAGGGGAGCTTCTTCATGAAGGTTTGTTCCTTCAGTCTTGACATGATGTTTATTGATTATTGATTCTGTGTTAAAGATCTGTAGTTATCATGCTTAGATATATCCAATCTGGCAGTTACACAGTTAAGGAATGTGGCACATGGAAAGAAAGAGGAACTTTTCAGGGTGGATTCCTTACAGAAGAATAAGGACCCACCCTAAAACGTGACTCATATTATGGTATTTCTTTAATCCTGGGCTTTCTACTAAAATTATGTGAAGTCTCTTGTTGGTGGAACCAAAGGGGCTCAGAGGTAAATCTTCAGTATATTCAGAGGTAGTGTCAATACCTGCTAACAGTCAGTTGCACAGCTTGATAGAATTAATCGGCACATTTTTTGCTACCGATTTGAAAAACAATACAATGAATTTAAACACCAAACAAGCTGTCAGACATTGTTAAGTGGTTAAGTAGGTCCACTGCCTTTATATGGCCCCTCACCAAGAGCTTTCCCTTCTGTTTTTCCTTGCCTCTACAATCCACTACTATCTGAATATAGAATACCCAACACAAAGGGTGAATGGACTGTCTGTACACCCACTGAAAGACACCAGCTTTTATTAGTTTACAAAGTAGCAGTTTATTGCCAGTAAAGCAGTTTTAAAAATGGCACTTGAGGAGCTTATTGGGTGCTTTCTCTTGAGTATCTAACCATCTATTGGAATTTGTTTGCTTTGGTTTTAGGAGGATTCACTTGTAAAGCATTTTCCAAGTTGTTTTTTTCCACAACAGTTGTTATTCTCTGGTCATCATTCTTGTGCAGGGCTTCGGTTGTCAGCAGTTTCTTTTTTTCCACACTGGTATGTGTGCTTGTGTGTACATCAGGATGCCTGTGCATGATTGACAAATGGGACCCGAGGTATGGAGCCTGCAGGTACAGTAAGCAGGTCTCACAATCTCCTGCATGCTTGTTTGGACTCATATCTGTTTTAAAAATCTGAGAAAATTTCAATATCACAAAGCATACATAAAGGCACCTTGCCCTCCACTATCTGGTAAATAGTGGTGGTTTCACTTGGTGTTCCCATTGTTCACAGATGCATGAAGGTCAAGGTAGTTCTCTGTTGCAAGAGGTTGTACTTGCCTGTGCTGTTCATAAATCTTCTTCTTTAGCACTGTAATAAACTTTCTTTGATTTCCGGTCTTGTTATGTCCTCCACCTGATCCTTTCCCATTACAACAACCTTTTAATCTAATGATATCTTTTTTCTGTCTCTCAAGGTAAGAACCCCACTGACAATGGTGCTGCAGGGGACTATGGGGTGCCCAATCCTGGTCCTGCATTCAAAGAGGTGTGGCAAGTGAAGGTCTGGCCCAAAGGCCTGGGTCAAGCCAAGAACTTGGTTGGCATTTACCGCCTTTGTCTGACTGAAAAAACGGTCAACTTTGTCAAGCTCAACTCTGATGCTGCAGCTGTAGTGCTGCAGCTGATGAACGTCCGACGTTGTGGCCATTCAGAAAACTTCTTCTTTGTTGAGGTGGGGCGCTCTGCTGTGACAGGCCCGGGCGAGTTCTGGATGCAGGTGAGTCTGTATTATACAGCCCCCTTTGTGTTAAAGTTGTTCTTTTTTTGGCCTGGGGGTGGGGGGTTGGCTTTTTGCCTTTTTAATAGATGGGACAGGTAAAGGGAGACAGGAAATGTTGGGAGGGGAGAGTGGGGGATGACATGCAGCAAAGGTTTGAAGCTAAGAACAATTTCCCCAAATTCTTATTTGAAATTTACCAGATTTATAATGCATTTTTATCGTTTTGGGTTTCTCCATGTCTTAGGTTGATGATTCGGTGGTGGCCCAGAACATGCATGAAACCTTGCTAGAGGCTATGAAGGCCCTGAGTGAGGAGTTCCGCCAGCGCAGCAAATCTCAGTCCAACTCTGGACCTGGAGGAGGTGCTACCGCTTCTAACCCCATCAGTGTTCCCTCACGCAGGCACCATCCTAACCCTCCTCCCAGTCAGGTAGGCTTCACCCGAAGGCCCAGAACAGAGCCCCCAGGAGGAGCAAATGGCGGGGCAGAGGCCAGCAGTGCCAATGCTTCTCCCACCCCACGGCACAACTTTCCAAGGTCTCGCACTGCCAGTGATGGGGGGAGAGTTGAGGAAGGGTTAACAGGCACCACACCCCTCCAAGGTTCAAGCTCAAGCCCCTGCACTAATGGCTCATGCGCTACCACCCCAATCCTCAGGTCGAAATCCGCCCGTTCAGCCCCCACATCAGCTGCTAAAACTCCTCTTGGGTTGATGCGTTCCATCTCTACGCCAGCACCCTCCCCAGCCCCAAGCCTATCCTCCAGCTCTGGACATGGTTCAGAGTTTGGGGGTGTAACATCAGCTGCAGGGGCTGGTCCATCTGGTGCCTACAGTCGAGTCCTGTCACATGGGGCATCCATCTCAGGCTCACCCAGTGACTATGGGTCCTCAGATGAATATGGCTCCAGTCCTGGGGATCACACGCTCCTTCCCTCACCGAGCCTCCCTGGAAGCTCTGTTGGGAGCACTGGCAGCCAGTCTCTTGTTGAAGAAGGAGCTAACTACATCCTAATGGGCCAACGTAGTGGCGGTGGTAGCGGCAGCAGCAGTAATCAGGGTAGCTTGACATCAAGTTCCCTGCCAGCACCAGGAACACCTTCCAATGGCTCCCAACCCCAAACAAGGAGAGTGCTGCGTCGCTCCTCCAGCCGTGAATGTGAAGCAGAACGTAGGCTACTGAGCAAGCGGGCCTCTTTACCTCCTATGGCTCTGGAAAGGCTGGCACCACGGCAGCGCAGAGCAGAAGAGCCAGCAGAAGAAGATTCAGCTGATTATGCCATCATGTCAAGGAGTACTAGCAGAGAGTCCTTTACGTCTACTTCCTCATCAGCACAGAGGGAATCCTTCATGAGTGCTGGGTCAGCAGCAGGAGGAGGAGGAGGAGGAGGGGGAGGAGGGTACTTGGATGTGGCGGGTGAGTTCAGGTGTGAAGGTGGGGCAAGTGGTGCTATAGATGTAGTTGTGGACAATGGGTACATGTCCATGCTTCCTGGTGTCACTCAGCCCCCAGCATCCTTGTCCCAGTCACCAGCTGTCTCTGTGCCAGACTCAGATTCCAAACCTGGAGACGATTACATGGCCATGACCCCTAACAACAGCGTGTCACCTCCGCAGCAGATCCAGCCTCCACCATCTACTGATGGCTATATGATAATGTCCCCAAATAGCAGCTGCTCCCCTGACCAGCGTGGGGGTCTCTTGGGAGGGGCTTGGTTGGGCAGTGGTAGTGCAGATAGCAGAGCAGGCAGTGACTATATGAATATGTCTCCAATCAGTGCGCGTTCTGTAAATGGCAGCCCCCCACCTCTTGAACACACAGGTCCTTTAGAGACTAGTTCTCAACAGCAAGCCCCCAAGATGGTGTACTCTTACTATTCCCTTCCTCGGTCTTACAAACATAACCCCACTGCTGGACACTTTGACGATGGGCCTGTAAGAGGCAGAAGGCCCAATGGGAATTGTAGTAGGGGACTTGGAGGAGGTAGGACTACTGGAGGGCGACAGGAGCAACCAGCGGCAGGCAATTCCATGGTTGGACGCCTGTCCCTCTCTTCTTCTTCACACTCCTCGAGTTCAGCCAGCAGCGAGAGCCTTGGAGAGAGTGAGGATCGAGCTACCCAGGCAGTGAGCCCCATGGCTGGGGGAATGCAATCCAAAGACGGGAGTAAGCTTCAGCAAAGAAGAGGATCTGGTGGATTGTCCAAGCAGGGTAGTCATACTAGGAACAGACCAGTGAGCCTGTTTGTTGACGTGTCCAAGGCAAACACACTTCCAAGGGTCCGTGAGAACCCTTTGCCCCCAGAACCCAAGAGTCCTGGGGAGTATGTAAGCATTGAGTTTAAGGGGGAGAAGTGCAGTCAGACTGGAGTTGCCGGGGGGCGTGGCAGGGGTCTGAGGCATGGCTTATCATTGCCCCATGGCTCAAGCAGCAAGCATCTTCAACATCGGCCAACTTCTTGCTTAGGGAACTCTATCCCCGTTTCTGGTTCTCCCTCTGCCCCTCTCACTCCCCCAGCAGCTTCTGAGTATGTCAACATGGACTTGGGCCCTTCTCCATCCCCCTCACCCCTCTCCCTTACCCCACTGGTTTTCCCTTCTTTTCACACCCCTCCAACACCTCCAACTCTTGCTCATGCTCCTAAAGCCTGTGATGAGGACACTACAAGCCCTCGTGAAGATGGGGCTGAAGTATCTGAAGCTCCACTACGGAAAAGCAGAGCTAAAGTCCCATCAGTGACTGAATCTGAGTCCCCAACCTCCTGTGGTGACTACACAGAGATGGCCTTCAGTTTGAATAGCAACCCCGTCCCTAGGCCATCATCCAGTGTGTCTCCCAAAGCCCCTTCCCCCACCCGGACTGAACCTACTGTTCCTGTACTTTCGAGGGGTCTAGACTTTCCTCTGGCCAAACCAGGACCTAACCCTGACCACGGGGCTAAAGTAATCCGGGCTGACCCTCAAGGACGAAGACGGCACTGCTCAGAAACTTTCCTTGCCTCACCTTCCCTCCCCACCTCTACCTCTGCATCATCCTCTTCAACTGCCTCCCTCTTTCCAGAACATGCCCAAGCTGTGGCTCGCCGGCTGGGCTTTGAGAGCATGCTGTGGGGTAATGGTGCTGTGACTGATAACCCCACTCAATTCGCTCTTCCTGGACAGGCAGCCCTTTCCACAAACGCCCAGACTTCATCCACAGAGCAAGGACTTAACTACATAGATTTGGACTTGGCCAACAAAGAGAGCCCCAATTTGGGACTGGATGGACCCTCAGGTACTCAAGCAGCCTCTCGCCTCTTCTCTGTACTGGGTGGAGGTTCTGGAGTTGGTGGAGTAAGCCCAGCAGTTGGCAGCAGCAGCTCAAACCTCAACACTTATGCCAGCATTGACTTCTACAAATCAGAAGAGCTACGGACACATCAGAATGGAAACAAGGAGGGAACAGGTAAGAGTTGCTTTTTGTCATTCAAGATACATTTGTAGGACTGTGTAAAGCATCATGTCTGTTAGTTTGTGATAGAGGTTTCAATCCCATATTTCTTCCAGATACCTCGACTTTTGCTGACCTTTTTGTAGCTTTGATTGACATTACAATCCCTGCTGTACTATGCTGTTGTTGTTTTTTATCGTCACATTATAATTTACCCAAAACCAGTTGATTTTTGACGGCTAAATGTTTATGGTGTTGGATTGGTGCATTGACTAACCTACTTGCTAATATTGCATTTAATTGGGCATATATCAATATTGGTATCGGAAAAACTCTAGATTATGATATCTCTATTGCATTTTTTTTCCAGTTTCCCTTACACCCAGGCTCTATCAGATTAATTACATAGAAAAACATACTATTTCAAGATAATCCAATGGAGCACAGCCAAATTGGACATATTTTCTTGTAATGAAACTCCACCTGACGCCAGACAGACCCAAGTCGGATTTGTATGACTGTCTGCATAACCCACCATAGAAGATATATATTGGTTGCTCTCAATCAAAAATATATTTCCTTCTCTGGGTATTCCACAGTCATACACACTTTTTACCTAATGTGATTAAGTAGGGTGCCAAAGGCCAGACGACCCATTGGAATATCAATTTATATTGATATTCTACATATTACTATTGATCCTCTCTGGTGTTTTTGAATGTTTTGTATAAGCTTAACCCACTCCTCAATTATTTTTTTATTATTTTTATGCAGTGTGCAGATCTAGGAGATGCTTATTACGCATATATGACAAATGTCAGAATCCTTTTGCTCCAGATGAACCATTGTTTTCCATCTAGGAGAGCTGCCACATACATCTTTATGCATTTATACTCTTATCAAAGGAAGCCATTCAGGCCTACAACTGAAGCATTCTACTCCTTGTTCAATAAATTTGAACTTCGATCCCGTTTTCCGCTGACCTGTCAGCCCTAAGATCCTCACAGTACATTGAGTTTATTTGCCTGAAGTCACTGAGGAAGGGCTTTGCCCAAAACGTGCGGCAATAAAAGAAAACGTAGAAGTTTTTGGATTGCTGTACTGGAGTAGTATTGATAAGCCCTAAGATCCACCTATGTGACTTGAGTAGAGGAAAGCAAGCATGTCAGATTTTACGTTATTGTATTCGTTTTTAATTCCCATACAACTTAAAAATTAGGAACATTCTCAAGCATTGTATTGAAGAATTTTTTTTTTTTAGGATATTCAAGCAGAAAGCTGTGGTAGCTTCGTATGGCCAATGACTGGGCTTAAACTTTTCCTGATCACATATTAGAGGTCGGCACAGAAATCTACGGAGTTGCTGTAGCTGCAGTGCTGTCAAACCTTTTTTGTTAGAAAGGGAGGTCACCAAGGCCAGATGATGAATTTTCTTTGTATTTACATTTTCCCTACTGTGAGGGGAAATTTTCTGGCTGTGGGGGACCACCACAGCTAAACAATGCCTCAACTAGGTCACTGTGAGACGTTTCCTCATCGAAAAACATTCTCTTTGAGCCACCGTCTGCACTAAATTGGCCTGTTAAGAAATGGACGCCTGCAGTTTAAGCAGATAGAGCAGCATTTAAATGGAGATGTGGATTTATATGCACCAGTAAAACACTCAGTAGTCTTGGTTAAGGTTCCACAGTGGGGCTCTTGTGATGAATGCATCCTGCCAGGCCTTGTTGTTTATGTAGCTCTGCTAGCCTATGCATGATTTGAACCTCAGGTTGTGTTAGACGTAAACCTCATGGGGTTTTTGTGGTAAATATTTCATAGCCGGGCTCCGCAGTTGGATTTAATGAAATATGTAAGGCATTAGCAAGAATTTATCATAGGATCGCGCGGTGAGTGCAGCGCAACTGGGCTCCACAGTTGGTTTTGATAGACTCCACAGATGGAAATAAACCATCAGCCTGCTTCCATACGTCGCCATGTTGGTTTTATTGGGAAATGGAAGCCATGTTGGTGGAGACGGGCGGTGTTGTTGGGTGTACTTTAAATGTAAATCCTTGCAAGCTTCCACAGTGGGACCATATGGGCTCTGGCTGTGGAGTATGTCAGCGGGGCAGCGTGGGGGAGAATGTTACACATTGGCTGTGAATGTTGAGATGGGGGCCAGTGTTTCACTCACACAGCTCTCAAATGCCTCTGTACAGTGTTCCCCCTCCTTTCATCCCCCCCTTTTAGCCTCCCCCTCTTTCCTCCTTCAATAAATGATCCTTTTGTTCGAGTGTTTTTGCCGCGGTGGCCTGACGGGCCTCAGCAGGGCCGAGCCCCAAGACTAGTGGACTCAACTGCAACTGTTTCCCTTTTGCACTTTATAATTTGGGGTATCTCTATCTTGCTTTCTTGAGTTTCCTCTTACCTAATGTACCTCCAAATTGCTATCTTTGTTTTTAAAAATTCTCTTTGAAAACTGGTCATGACACTTTTTCAAGCTTCTCAACCTTTGTCCCCATCTGACATCCAGGCTGAAGGATTTTTAAAATTCCTTCCCTCCCTTCTGTTCACATACTGTTCAACATTTTTTCGCCAAAACCTCTCTTGTCTTCACGCCCTCTCATACTCCTCCCCTTTCTCTCAGTGTTTCATCCCTTTAAATGCTTGCAGAGATGCTTAAAAATAGATTTTAGTGCCGCTCAGAGCAGTTTTCTCTCGTCTTCAGAGCAAACAGCAACAAGAGAAACAAAAATGAAGAGATGCTACTTGACAACCAATCTCTCTGTTACTATAGACAACACACAATTTAGAAAAGATTAATTATGTTGTCTGCATGGATCCTGTTGGCTTTATTTAAAGCGTTCTGATCCACTGTAATTACAGGGATGATTTTACCCCTAACAGGCACCAACTTGCATAGAAAAACATTGCACAAATGTCTCTGGTGAGTACTTTAGGCGCAGAGAGCCACAGGCTAAATTTGAACATCAGTAGTGGGACATGTGCCAAAAACAATCCTATTTGACACTGGTTATGCAATATGTAACGTGCAAAAATAGCCTCTCATGATTAAGATAATGAGGGAGAGAAAAAGGTGAGCCATTTCACTCCAAATAGCGTCTTTTAATAGTAAATTGAAAGAATTCCACTCCAACACATGCAATCTTTATGTGTGTGGGCCCTCTTGGCCCTGCTGCAAAAAGTCTAAGGCCTTGCATCAGCATTTGTGTAAAATCTGATGTTTGAGTTGATGTGTCTGCTTTTTACGAGCATCAAGTTCAGCCAAAGTGTGAGAGACAGTTACTGTAATGTGTGTATATCCCTTTGTTCTGTGTATCTCTTTGTGTGTGTGTGTGTGTTTCCCCAGTTAATGAAGGACTTTCTTGACATTTAGCATAACAGTCTGAAGCGGTTTATGAATTAAAGACAAATTTTTTTTTTTTTTTTTAATTAAATACCTCCTCCCACAGTCTCCTCCAGGAAAACCATATGAAAGAATCGTATTATCCCCACTCCAAGCTGTCCCTTTGCTTTATTTCTTTACCATGTGGAGGTGGCTGTGTATGCCAAGGCTCAAAATAGCCTCTAGCCCTTTAATATCCCGTCACTGGGACACATCGCTTAGAGGAGGGAGTTCTAATGGGGAGATTCATGTGTACCCACACCATTAGATTTAGCCGTGATGCATTTAAAAACTAAACGTGATTACATAAAATCATTCAAGGCCTTTAAATCCAAACCTTGTTATGTATTTTCCCCCTCATCATGAGAATCAGATAAGGCTGTCTGTCTTTGTTTACTTTTGGCCAGATGACCAATGGGATCGTTTCAGGAAAATCAAAAACAGATGAAGGAGCTAGTGTCACTTTTTTAAAAATATAAAATGTAGGGCTGGATCATATGGGTTGGAATATATCGTTTATTTAAAAAAGATTTTTAATTTTGTTAAATTACCAGATTAAGAGTTTTTTTGTGGTCTAATGTAGAAAAATAGAGTTTTCAGAAATGTATGCAAAAAAAATGTTAAAGTGTATCAATTCATAAATGTGATAATTAGGGCTGTCAAACAATTACATTTTTAATCATGATAAATCCTTAAATTTGAATAGTTAATCAGGATTAATCCCATTTTAATGGCATACGTGTGAAATTCAATTTTTTGGCATTTAAAAATTAAAGTTGTCTTAAGCTGAGAGTACTTTACTTGCTACTTGAATTCAACTCTTTTATGTTGAAAATAAAGTAAGCACCTTCTGTTAGATCAAAGGTTGCAACGTGGACTTAAGCAGAACCAGAAAACATCTAAAGAGGATGGTGTCATGAGGAGGATATGACTTTTGACTCGTCAGCTGAGCTGTCTGAGGCTTTTTGAAGTGAAATGAGACATTCAAAGACTCAGCAGTGTCGTTCTTTTCCATCACTGTGATTTCAGGGAGACACTGCGGTGGCTTATTAACGCTGCCCCTGAAGGGCAAATTAGTATGTGATTAATCACAGATTAAAAAAAGTAATGCCTAAGCTTCAGACCTCTAATTAATAGTGATTTACTAGTTAATGCTGACAGCCCCATATATCTATCAACACATACACACATCTACAAACACCAACTAACCTATGACAACATCAACTGAACTAAACTAATTAGGCTCTATCAGAACTAAACTCATTTAATGCTGTGTAACTGGAAACAATGGATGTTTATTCTGGCCCAGTTTGTGGCTGGGTGGCATTTTCCTACCGCTTTAAAGTTCCAGGTGATGTGTGCCAGGAACAGGTAAATACATTTACAGCAACCTCTAAGTCACGCACAATCAAATCCTTAATCAACAAAATCCTGTTAGCTTCAGACAGAAAGTGACCTGTAATAGACTCCCCATCAATTCCTGCGTGTCTCTGTGAAGGAAGGACACCACCTGTATGAAGGTGAAGACTGCAAGATAACGTTAGAGAGTGAAAATGTTACAGATTTCATTAATAAATATATGATGATTCTCTGCACAGGAAAACTGTGTGCGCATAACTACAGTCAT